CGTTGGGTGCAGCCGATGCTAGCGCAACGCAGGAAGCCGCCGCCGCCGCATATGTGGCGCAGCAAAAACACAAGCCAACGCAAGCAACAAGTAGCAGCAGCGCCACCACTGGCTATCTACAACTCGACAACGACCGCATTGGTTGCGACATTTGGCAGGACAATGTGCGCTTACGCCGCCGCCTCGCCACCATGTCCGAGGGACAAATCACCTGCCCCGCGCATATTGTCACCATCGTCTGCGCCATTTTCACACTGCTGCTCGTGCTAGCCATCGGAGCCAGCATCGTGTTCTATTTGCGCTTTGTCAAGCGACGCCGAAAGCTCTTGCACGACCGCTCACTCACACGTTCCGGCAAATCGATTGTGAACGTACACGATCGCATATTGCAGCATCAGCCGTTGAGCGCTGGCGGCGCGCTGGGCATGGGTGTAGGTGGACTCACCTATCCACATCATACGTTGCAGCAGCAGGGTAGCACACATCATGCCATGCTGCCGCTGCACCCGCACGAGTATCAGCAAACGCTGCCAACACAAGTGGATAAGCTTGAGCTGGAACGGTACCTGGCGGCGCAGGCGATCGCCAATGAGTATCGTGCCTTGAAGCCGTGGGAAGTGCCGCCGGTGAAGGATGCGAATGCGTACAGCGATGAGCCGGAGCATTTGTACGAAAAGTTTGACCACTACGATTATCCGGACATGCAGACGTTGGGCAAGTCGAAGCAAGCGGTACAGCTGATGTCCAGCAATGAAGAGGGAAATGCCAGCAGCGGCAATGGCGTAGTGCTGATGGGTAAAGGCAGTGGTGGCGGCACNTTAGAAAGTGGCGAGTGGAAAATTAGTATACAAGGATAGAAAACAAGAAGCAGCAAGCGACAAAACGGCAGTCAAAAATAATAAANTTATGTGGCGCAGCAGAAACACAAACCAACGCAAACAACAAGTAGCAGCAGCGCCACCACTGGCTATCTACAACTCGACAACGACCGCATTGGTTGCGACATTTGGCAGGACAATGTGCGCATTCGCCGCCGACTCGCCATCATGTCCGAGGGACAAATCACATGCCCCGCGCATATTGTCACCATCGTCTGCGCCATTTTCACACTGCTGCTCGTGCTAGCCATCGGTGCCAGCATCGTGTTCTATTTGCGCTTTGTCAAGCGACGCCGAAAGCTCTTGCACGACCGCTCACTCACACGTTCCGGCAAATCAATTGTGAACGTACACGATCGCATATTGCAACATCAGCCGTTGAGCGCTGGCGGCGCGCTGGGCATGGGTGTGGGTGGACTCACTTATCCACATCATACGTTGCAACAGCAGGGTGGCACACATCATGCCATGCTGCCGCTGCACCCGCACGAATATCAGCAAACGCTGCCAACACAAGTGGATAAGCTTGAGCTGGAACGGTACCTGGCGGCGCAGGCGATCGCCAATGAGTATCGTGCCTTGAAGCCGTGGGAAGTGCCGCCGGTGAAGGATGCGAATGCGTACAGCGATGAGCCGGAGCATTTGTACGAAAAGTTTGACCACTACGATTATCCGGACATGCAGACGTTGGGCAAGTCGAAGCAAGCGGTACAGCTGATGTCCAGCAATGAAGAGGGAAATGCCAGCAGCGGCAATGGCGTAGTGCTGATGGGTAAAGGCAGTGGTGGCGGCACGGCGGCCAAGCCACATGTAGTCTATGTATGACTCCCGGGTGGGCAAGTGGGTGTGGGTGCTAAGGGCAGTGCAGGTAAGGAGGACGGAGGCTTGGTAGGCGTGAGTGTGGATGCCGAAGGTGAGCTGCGCTACTGCCTCAACAACAACTACAGTAGTTATGTGAAATTAGTTTAGAAAGTGGCGAGCGGAAAATTAGTATACAAGAATAGAAAACAAGAAGCAGCAAGCGACAAAACGGCAGTCAAAAATAATAAAATGGAATCCAATAGCGAAGGTGAAGCACGTATAGTATGATAGTCAACGCTAAAGCGTTACAGAACTAATTTACGAGTAAGTGCGGCGAAAGAAGGCGCATGCGTCGCAATAAATGTAAAACAAAAAAAAAACAAAAACAAAGCTAAAATCATATGATAGCAGCGATAAATCGAAACAAGGGTATATGTTAGTATTAGGTTATAAACACATACATACAAACATGCATAGACCAACACCAATACATACCTACTACTTACAAGAAAGCGTCATGCATTAATATTCGTAAAAAATACTTCGGCAATTGTCGACATTATTTCTCGAAGAATTTCCTGCAAATCTATAAGCGAATTATTTGTGTAAGCGTAACAAGAAACAATGTAAAATGAAACAAGGGATACGTATAGTGTTAAAATACTTAGCTAAATTAAAATAAGTAANATAGAAAGTGGCGAGCGGAAAATTAGTATACAAGAATAGAAAACAAGAAGCAGCAAGCGACAAAACGGCAGTCAAAAATAATAAAATGGAATCCAATAGCGAAGGTGAAGCACGTATAGTATGATAGTCAACGCTAAAGCGTTACAGAACTAATTTACGAGTAAGTGCGGCGAAAGAAGGCGCATGCGTCGCAATAAATGTAAAACAAAAAAAAAACAAAAACAAAGCTAAAATCATATGATAGCAGCGATAAATCGAAACAAGGGTATATGTTAGTATTAGGTTATAAACACATACATACAAACATGCATAGACCAACACCAATACATACCTACTACTTACAAGAAAATGTTATGCATTAATATTCGTAAAAAATACTTCGGCAATTGTCGACATTATTTCTCGAAGAATTTCCTGCAAATCTATAAGCGAATTATTTGTGTAAGCGTAACAAGAAACAATGTAAAATGAAACAAGGGATACGTATAGTGTTAAAATACTTAGCTAAATTAAAATAAGTAAATTCAAGGGAAACCTAGAATGTTAAAAAAATAGTATGTGTCGAAAATATAAAATAAACCTGTAACTAAAAACCGCAAAAAAAGCTACCTAGTTTAGACTTTGTTTATGTAAATTTGTGGAAAGTGTAGAAATCTAATAATAAGAAGAAAGAAAGCACAAAAGATTCCTTTAATTTATTATTTCTACTTGGTTTATAAGTTTACCCCAGCAGAATTGGTCAAGAAGCCAGTAGCGGAAAATTTACTCTTTGTAAATTTCTTGGAAGATTTGTTTCCTAGGTATTTCGACTGCTATTTCTCCGTATTGCTCAGCAAGCACCTGCGCACTATATTAGGGCACTGCGCCTTAGCATATACTTCAATACTCGACCTGAATTGTTGGCATCCGGCGATCGACCATTTCAGAAATAAAAAATTATAGTCCAAAATCCTAAAACCTCGCTATTAAAATTTCCATTCGTACTGTCATCAATGGAATGTATCTAGAGAATGGAAATCGCTGCATCTTTTAGGCGCATCAATATTACATAGTTACATCGCGAGCTAATAAAAGCGAGGTAAAATCAGTTTGGTTCTGCATTTTGTAAATTCTACCAGGCGAGCAAAAATGCGCAGCAAGCGGCAGCGGAAGAATTTTTTCACTGTGATAGTGCGCTGCGCCTTAGCATATACTACAATCTTTGGCTTGAATTTTTCGCATCCGGTGATCGACCATTTCCTAAAAATTCAGTTTGGTTCTCAAATTATTTATCATTTCTCCGGGCGAGCAAAATTGCGCATTGAATTTTCCGCAGCCGGTGATCGACCATTTCAGAAAAATTAGGAAGCAAGCGTCAACGGTGTGCCCCTAAAAATATGCTTTAATCACTATCCTGGGGATTCAGTTCGGTACTTCACTCTGGAATTTCTGCCAGGCGACCAGACTTTGTGTTTGTAAATTTAAAATATTTAGCCCAAGACCTAACCTACGGCAAGAATCGTTCAGCATCGCAGCAGCACAGTTTTCTCTGTGAATCATTAATCCACATTGACTTTTCTTATGCTGCTCAGTTTCCTGTAATACAGCCTTTTGAGAATTTACTTATTTTTTACCTTAACAAATTACATACTTGCTTGACACCGTACTTGAAGATCTGCACATATTATTCACTTTTGTTTATTCTTTTTGTTTAAGTATGTAGGAAAAATAAAATCATTTAAGAATCTTAAATATATCGAGCCCTAACCGCCAAAAAAACATAAGCGGATTTTCTTCAACTTTTGTTTTTGATGCAGAAATGCATCTATATGATCTAAGATCATTTAAAAAAAAAGTCGCTTACGTTTTTTTGGCGGTTAGGGCTCGATATACAATTATAGAGTTAGTCTTTTAGGAATTCTAAAGTTTTCTATTTTAAATCAGCTGCCTTGTGTAAATTTATAAAATTACAATATTTAGTTTTAAGACAAAGAACTTTAATTTTTCCTTAGGATACATAAAAAAATATGTATCTAAATAAATGAAATTTTAAGTGTTCATTTATACATACACATTCATTTTGAATCTCAGCCTCTGATCTTTTGGACAAGTTTAATATAAAATGTTGGTTTCATTTTGTTTTGTATATACATATGTATGAAAACATACGAGTTTAAATTTTAAAATAATTTTTAAATAAATAATTGTATTAAAATTATCTGTACAGCTAAAAATATATACACATTAATTTGTTGCATAAATATATTTTTATATTCATACATTGTTTATACGTCTGATTGCAATACCTCCATTTTCTCTTAATATACTTTATAACTTGCATATGTATATGTTTAAACAATATTATTATGTATCTATATGTATTTAGAAATAATATAAAACACTTGCATATTTGGCAACCCGGCAAGAGGCAAGATAATAAAATGGACAATATAAAAAATCTCATAAATTAAAAATATGTAGCTGCTCTTTAAATATAACAGTAAGAGAGCATTGTAAATAGTTAAATTAAAAATTTAGTAGCTATAAAGGATTAATAATTAATTAACGCTATCTACTAATATTAATAATAATGTAAACAAAATTAAAAATTTTAAATATTATTTTAATGTATTTTACTGCATTTTAGTTGAACACAATTTTTAACTAATGTAAATAGTTTTTTTATAAGTTGGCCATGTATGCACCTTGAATTTATAAAAATAAATTTTTTTAACAAAATACATCAAACAATTTGTCTTTTTTATTGTTTCTGAAAAATTTGAATAAGTTGTGCAAAAAAATCTTTTTTTAGTTAATAGTAATTCGCTCCAAATTCTGAAACTTGATTTCACTATTCCTTTGAGTCCTTTGCGATTGGTTTATTAATAGATACGTTGGTTTACATCCAAGTTACACACATATGTATGTATGTAATATGTATTAAAAAAAAAACTATCTATGAATTTTGCGAAACCTGAAAACAAACCAAAAATCCTTTAGACTCCACGTTTCTGTGACACTTTCTGATGTTAACTAATATTTAAATTAATATACAAATTTTATATTTCCAAGAGGATTTTTCCTCTCGATAAATGCTTGCCGCATGTTTCATGGTTTTTTATTCGTTATTGAACTCTTTTCTGTTTTTAATAAAAACAACTGTTTGTAAAAGAGAATTTTTTAGTTATTTACGAATTTATTACTTTTTCAGATTCTCCAGCAAAACATTTTCTATAATTGAGTCGGTTAATTAGCAAAGTGAAGAAGTCATCATTATGGCAATTTCGATGTTATAATGCTGACTTATTCCTTTTGGTATTCAACTGATTCATTTCATGCATGCGATTTTATTGACCAACTCTTAGGCACGTTGCACATTAGAGCGATACGACATCGACATGCTGAGTACGTGGGAATTGGTAGAAAGCGTTGAAAACTGTGCACACTTGCACATCGACACTGCTGAGGCAAAATATCGCATGCGTATCGGCCGTGCGCCACGGTTTGCTACACTGAGCCAAAAGTACAATGGTTTTTTCAACCAAGTTATGATTTGAGTTTTTAATGGTTAATAAGCCGATTGTTTGATTCAAGTTGAACATTTGAGAACAAATTCGTATGTATGGAAGTGGCTAAACGTGTAGAGGTGCCTGCTGTTATTTGTTGGCTTCCAGCAGTACGAATGCCATCAGCACGATACATAATTTTTACTTTTTTTCTGTTTTTGGTTTTTCTTAATTACGAAAAAGCCTCTGTGAAGCGCAGAACCAAATGAAACGACGAAGAAAATTGATTCAAGTTGAATATTCGAATACGCATTTAGAAAGCGGCTGTAGCTGAGTGTGCATAGATGCTCGCTCTTATTTGCTAACATTCAGAAGATGCGGTTTCAAATATCGTCAGAGGAAACTTGTTAAAATGATAATAAAAATATTTGTTTTGAGTCTGCGAATTATGAAGAAGTATCTGTGAAGTGCAGAACATAAACATATTCAAACGAAAAAATCTACAACCAACAGTTTGGTTCATGTAAACAAAAGTGTGGTTAATATTGCCAAATCATTGTTGAAAATATCAACCAACGCATTGTTAATATTAACCAAAAACCACGTTGATTCCTTTTCGCGTGTCAATTTGCTAATTTTAACCAATTTTTGGTTGGTTTTTTGCTCAGTGTATCACACTGCATATGGTATCGCGAGTCGTATCGGTCTAATGTGCACCGTGCCTTACTATTCCATTCTCCATACTTTAAGTCAAACCAGTTATTCATTAAGACACTTATGTTGACGAAAATTTGGCTTAGTGGCTTCCAGAAACCCACTGCTGAGTGGGTATAAGCTATATTTTTGTACCCGGTAGGTGGCGATGAAAAGATATTTAGAACATACCCTACCAGAGCAGTTTACCGTATACTCCAATTAAATTACTTTTTTGTTTTCAAATCTCGAACACAATCACAAATTACTTCGTAAATTTCCTATAAAGAAACGTTGCCCTACCAGAACAGACTGGATAAATACCGGAGTAAATACCAGCAATTTATGGGCGTTTTGGGTAAAGTAAAATTTTGGTGTACGTGTGAGTTCCTGTACTCTTCTAACGTTTGTTTATAGGAAATTTTCGAAGTAATTTCACCTGCAGTAATTCGGACTCAACCTAGGTTAGTCCTTAGATAGTACCTATTGTTTTATCATTAGCGTGCCATTGGAAA